CATACATGTACATATAACTGTTCATATCATCACACATGTACATATAACTGTTCATGTCATCATCACACATGTACATATAACTGTTCATATCATCACACATGTACATATAACTGTTCATGTCATCATCACACATGTACATATAACTGTTCATGTCATCATCACACATGTACATATAACTGTTCATGTCATCATCACATACATGTACATATAACTGTTCATATCATCACACATGTACATATAACTGTTCATGTCATCATCACACATGTACATATAACTGTTCATGTCATCATCACACATGTACATATAACTGTTCATATCATCACACATGTACATATAACTGTTCATGTCATCATCACACATGTACATATAACTGTTCATATCATCACACATGTACATATAACTGTTCATGTCATCATCACACATGTACATATAACTGTTCATGTCATCATCACACATGTACATATAACTGTTCATGTCATCATCACATACATGTACATATAACTGTTCATGTCATCATCATATACATGTACATATAACTGTTCATATCATCACACATGTACATATAACTGTTCATATCATCACACATGTACATATAACTGTTCATGTCATCATCACATACATGTACATATAACTGTTCATGTCATCATCACATACATGTACATATAAAAGTCTGAATACAGGATTTCATAATGCACTTTAGTATTCTCCCAATGTAACGCCACAAGCATGACAGTTAATTTACATAATGTTTTATAACAATAGAAATAATTACCATATTAATAACCCCTATTGTTTCTTCAGAGGTGAACATGGCATTTTTGTGCCTAGCATGCTGAAACCATGCACTGTGGTAAAGCGCCTGGAGAGAACACATTTCTTCGTGTTGGGCTTCAGCACCAACTTATATATGAATATGGTTGTTTTTCGTTATTCCAACAATCCATTGCTTTTGTAACTCAAATTGAAATTATAAGTAAAAATTTGAAAAATACTTGTGCCACCCAAAACACAACAGCAAATGTGTGGTTTAAAATAAATAATAATGTCCCTGATTAAACTTGCCTGTTCCTCCAGTCTTGTCGGTAGCATTAATGTCAGAATTTCGTTTAAGGATTGTTCTGATAACATCATCAGCTCCTTTCCCAGCTGCCCACATTAGCGCTGTTCGACCTTCTAAATCCGGTTCATCAGTTACATTTTCACGGCTCAAGAAAGCATCCACAGTTTCCTGATAGAGATAGATAGAAACATTGTTCACAATGCATTACTCAATGTACAATAGAAGCAACAACAGAGCAGCATCTGGAACGCATTAGAGATCTTATGTTACTGGAAAAGCATCAATTTTCTCTACCATTACATTTTAAGCAATGAACTTTTAATAACTCTTATATTTTTTTATAATTTAAGAGTTCACATGCATTTAATTGAGCTAGTCCATTTCATTATAAGTAAAATCAAAACCTGTTGAATAATTATGGTGTTTACAGTATACATTGCAGGCTGCATACAACACTCTGACATCAATATGTTAGAAAAAAATGAGTCATTTTGAAAACTAGTGGTATTGTTCTGTTGGAGGTGATAAGCTAGTATCTCTCTTTTGAAACGGGGGAGTCGTATCCTGCGCATACGACAACTGTGTGTTGTTGTTTACAAACAAATGTCTACCCATGTGCCATTGCATTTTTTGCGTGTCTTGTTATCTTTGCTTTGGACTCAATTCCCGTGTGTGCACAGGTGACGACCCCTCCGCTTTTCAAACTACCATCTACCTATACAAACAGTGTTTAATTAATTTAAGAGTGACAACTGCATGACTCCAGTTAGTATATTTGATATGTGGTCAGATGTAGCTATATTAATATACCGGTATTGTAAAATTGCAAAACAATTAACAACTAAAAATTCACCATTTTTCATATGTGTAGATGCTTTGATAGAAGCCTATCCCTCTATTGCACTGTACCATTTTGAGATTTTAGTAATAATAATAATAATAATAATCTTTATTGAAACCGTATCTTAGTTGAAAATACAATAAAGTAATACAAAAAGATAGCAAACAAAAAAACAAAACACAAGACATTCATAGACAATTGAAAAGAAGAAGAAAAAAAAAAAATTAAATTATTTGGTGGTTGGTTGAGGCATCCGGCATTTTAAGATTTTTTCTTGTTGTAATTTGAAACAAGTGTGGATGAATTTTCCTAGTTCAATGATTGTTTTGCCATTTTTACTTTTTAGTATATTTGTAAGTTTTTCGTCATCTGTCTCCAAGTTGCTTATATTGTATTTAATATTGTTGATCATGATTTCTCGTTCCTTCTTGTATAAATTACAATTGAGAAGAAAATGTTTTTCGTTTTCAATTTCCTGTTTGTCACAAATTGTGATGTATTATTACACACCAATTGCTGATATACTAGCTATTTTCATTTTATGCATATATTTATGTTCTCAAGAACTCATAGTATACTTACTGCATAGTTATTTTGTGCTGCGTAATGCATAGGAGTGGCACCATTAGAATCTGTACTAGCATAGTCAGCTTTTCGGTTTAATAACAACTGGACTATTTTGGTGTGTCCTAATACTGCCGCCCAGTGCAAGGGAGTTCGGAACATATTATCTAATGCTGTAACATTACACTTCTCAAGGGAAGTCTGAAAAAAAGTCAGTAATTATTCATGATGACCCTTTGGGGTAGGAATTTCTCCAAAAATGTTACAATTTATAATTTATGATATTACCATATCTGCAATATTACTAGTGTATGTGTTAATATAAGATGCAACTATAGTCAAAATAAGTCATATTTCAATGATTCAGCACACAAAAAGATGTGATAGGTTTATGTGCCCTTCCATTGGAGATGCGCTTCTAATAGAGAAAATATGGTATCGTATTTGCTCTATTAGAAACACATCTCCAATAGAAGCACAAGTAAACTGACAGTTGTATGAATCATTAAAAATACTTCAACCACAGAATTCACGCAAACACAGGTCGTCAAAATATATAGAAATACGATATACAGTATAAATAATTTGTTTTTTTGTTTTCATGAAATATTTTACTGTGGATGAGCAAATGAAAAAACAAATGATAATAATACTTTTATCTGTGCTTTGCAATAAATAAATAAATATTTGGAGTAATGATAAGTAAAATATACTCAGAGACAGTGGTCTGATTTAACATAAACACTTTAGCTATTACAAGTGGCAGCTTTTACAGAAGGATTGTAAACTCACCAAGGCTCCAACAATGGGTTCATTGCCATCGGCCACAGTCAGATGCAATGCTGTCCTCCCTTCATAGTCTTGCCAGTTTATAACACTGGGAGCGGACTCCTGAAAAACAGAAAAATCACATCCAATTTGATCATATACATGTAACCTTCAATACAAACAGTTTATAAAACTGTGACATTAGTATACATATATTTTCAATACTAACAAAACAAATATTTATGTCTTACATGCTGATATTAATGGCATTACAGATATGTTACGGATATCAGCTCATGCCAAGAGTGAGGGCTGAGTCAACTCGGTCCCGACTGTTCACACATGCTGAAAAAAACTTGATTTAGGAAGTCAGAATCGAAACTTGGCACATGTCGAGATTTTCTGCCTGAAAGCTTGGCAGAAAATGAAATCATGCCCTCAGTTATGAGTTTAAAGATCATATACTTGTTGAATTGGTTTGATCATGTACTGATTCATGCTAGTATTTAATGATGATGGAGGGAAGTGCAGCTAGATATGTTCGTATGCTGTAGTAATGAAGGAAATGAATGCAGAACGTTATCGGCAATGCATATTGATATGCTGCAATCGGTTTCTTTTTGCAGTGCATCGATGTAAAAAAAACAGTTCTTTGAAAACTTTTTTTCTGTTGATGTGCATGATGACTCATAATAAATACCGTAACAGCAAATGGATATGATGTCAATAAAGTAGTTATTATTATTATCATCATATGCATATCGTCTACCATGTTTCGATTACCCAACAGATCAACGAATGAGGGCGTGATTCCAGTACAAAGTGATTGGTTCCCAACTATTAACATGAACACAACTGCTATGACCCCACTCCACATGAAAGTGTCAAGATCCTGTATTAACGTGACGTAGTAATTGGTGATGTGCTTTGACTAGAGCAAATACTGTGGAATACTTTATTTTTGCTGGAATTATTTTTCGCTGAAAGGGCTTTTTGGTCGTTTTGTGTGGAATTTATTTTCACTGATTTTTGATGAGTTTAATGTGAAATATAGGTAAAAAAGTATATTCGCTGGATTTTATTTTCATGGAATCATCCCTTTAGCAAAAATAGCGAAAATAAATTCCAAGCGAAAATAAAGTATTCTACAGTATGTTACATATCACTTAAGAATGGACAAAAGAATATGCACCATCCCACAGTTTTGAGAAACATGCATGGCAACAGAAGGATAGAGGGTATCCAACCAACATGGGACATATACCATACCATTAGAAGAACATGCACTTACGACAAAACCCTGTTCAATTTAAATTGGACACCATGCTGTTTTAGTAGATCTGTGTCAAGATCAGGGTAGGTAGAATATTGACAAATAATAAGGTTACCCTTACCAGTAATAGTTTGACAGTATTCACTGCAGAAGAGTCTTGGCCTGCAGTAGCAGCCCAGTGTAGGGGTGTCTTCCCTTCAGTGTCTGGTATACCGATATTGGAATCCTGCCAATTGAAAGATATCACACAAAGATCAGTATCAAAACATGTGACACTAGGAATTATTTAAAGTTATGGACAACAAGCGAGGGTATTCGTTAGCCGATATAAGACCTCTTAATGAAAAATTGCAGATTTGGCGGGAGATAATAACCAAGCGTAAGCATGTGATTTTGATTTAGTTAGATATTTAAGCCAGTTTATTCAGTTTCAAAGCTGAAACGCAGGTCTTTTAGTGCTAAATATAAGACCTTGCTTCAGCCAATCAGATAGCTAGATTCAGACTAACCACATGTTTATAATAAGATTTTACTGTAGGACTCAATGCACCTAGTACTGTAAAATCTGTATTAGAAGCCGCGGCTTCTATTAAAATTGTAGAATGCAAGAAATTGTAGAATGCGGCTTCTAATAGAACATCTACACATATGAGAAATGGTGAAATTTTGATTCTTAATTATTCAAAAATAATGGGTGCGACTTCTATTAGGGATGCGGCTTCTAATACAGATTTTACGGTAATACCTGGCATGGTGCCTGTTAGGTTTCACGGTCAGCACAATACTGAGGCTGACATAGTAAAATATTTGCATATAAATACATATATACCTGCTGATCAGTGTATCAACATTAATTAACTGTTAACTAATTATAATTAACTAACCTGTTTTATCAGCATTCTGACAGCTTCTTCATTGCCATAGGAAGCACTCCAGTGAAGAGCAGTCCGCTGTGTGTGAACGAAAACATTATTTATCAAACCAGTTATTATTATTTAAAACTCAAGATCACCATCAAATTGAGCAACTACCAAGTACCCTCATTGTAGATTTCCAAATCCACTCATTATCAAATGGTGATTGCACACACATGTAGCATGTTATATCTATTGATTTGCATCTGATTTGTGTACTTTAAAAGGATTAATTATTCAGTGGGTTTTAATTTAGCTTATTTCTCTGACTGGAAAAATGCGCTAAATTAAAACCCAGTGAATATGTAAAATTTAGCAATAGAACACATTATCTAAATGATAAAACCATGAATTTAAAACCCACTGAATATGCCTGAAATGCTAAATCAGTGAAATTTTAGTCATTTCACAGTACATAGTTTTATTGATGTACATGTACCTAACCAATGAATCTTACAGTTGGTACAATCTGTGCACAGACACTGTCAGACACTATCAACCTACCTTGGCACTGTCTTGTTCATCCACCTCTCCTAAGTCAACATGTAGCTGTTTCATCAACAAAGCCAGACATTTGGTGTTTTTATGCCTTGTTGATAAATGTAATGCTGTCTGTCCCTCGCTGTCTTTTTCCTTACAGTTTGCACCTTTAGAAATCAGTAATTTCAAACACTTGAAGTGACCCTAGGATGAAAAAAAAGAAATATACAAAATACAGAATACAGACATAATTCAGGCCTGTCATGAGAGGTTTCTAGTTGTTGATGCAATAACATTGTAACATTTTCAAATGACATTATTACATACTTAGCTCGTTGATTGGACAGTTAAATTGAAATTTATAAATAATCATAAAAATGAAGAAAATGGGTTTGTTGTGTTAATTCTGTAGTATCTCCTTTAGCTGCTTTTTATATTATTTGGCTCACGATAAAATTCACATCATGGCAAAGCTTCCAATGCAGCTAATTCAATGACTTGAAAATATCTCTGATGTTTGTACATGTCAGAGAAAATAAAATTCCAGGCCATTTCAGGCTTACCCATAAAAAAGATTCCAGGTTTTTTTAGTCAGTGCTATGGGAATGCACATTCAAGTTCCACCTGAATCAATATGGACATTTTCCAATGAATTTGTGTAATCCAAGCACACTTTATAAAACCACATTCTCAGTGTTGAACTGTACATTTCATAGAACATGCCTGCAGTTAGAGAAATAAACTTATCCCACCATCAGCAAATTGTAAATTAAAAAAGAAAGAATGGAGTGGCTTTGATTAAATGTATTAAGAAAGTGATGAAATTCCATAATTAATTTCAAGATTTTTTTATAGAAACGTGCTAGAAAAGGCCCAGAAACATGATTTTCGGAATCCCTGTACATTCTAGGAATTCCAGGCTGTGTATGAATCCTGTGAAGTGTACACACCACACCTTTTCATACTCCTGTTTACATGTATACCTTATGTGCTGCCCAGTGTATAGCTGTTCTACCACCACTGTCTTTGGCATCAACATTAGCTCCAGCTTTGAGTAATATTTCAGTACACTCTAACCTGTCTGCTAGCACTGCAAACATCAAAGGTGTCCTTCCGAATTGATCTTGACCATCAATTTGATGTGGGTTAGCTATAATAATCAAATCAATGAAAACAATTACCATGACCAGTAGTTTGTGAAGCTAAAACTAGCATTTATTATTATAACTTGTTTTCACCATAAATACACATCTGTCATTTATGTGCACACGGCTACCAACAAAAAGGCTACCAGTCTTCCACTTGGAATCTGATCCCGAAAAAAAAACGGTAGCATATATATCCATAGAACAATTCATCAAGCAGTTGTAAAATAATTATTTTTTCCTGGGATGATTCAGGAAAAAATAAAATCCAGCGAATGAAACTTTTTTTACTATATTTTACATTCAACAGTATTTGACAGTATGAATAAAATCAATGCCTCCAGTACATGGGATAAAATTAAGATGACCATGCAGAATCCAACCTATAAGTCAGACAGCATCAAGCTGGAGTCTAAGAAATAATGAACCTTGTTACCCAGTTTTTAACACTGTTTACCTGAGAGAAGTTTCTGGAGAATACTTTTATCTCCATTTACGGCAGCAGCATGTATTTGACTGGTAGGTGCAACATCTCTTTTCAATGAAGTATCAGAACCAATATTACCCTCAGCACCAGGAACTTCGAAACTTGGAATAGTTCTGCTCGCTTGTCGTGTTTGCATCTTCCTCTGTTCCCTTTGTGACTTCTATAATAATATAATGCAGAATTATATATTTATTTATTTTTATTTTAACATAATCAATTGTCTGAACTAAGTGATCTGATTTGTGTTCTGAAACTAGGAAAGTCTCTGTGAACATTGCAGTATTGGTACTATGTTAGGAAAACAATTTGCTACATTTTGTATATATATATATATATATATATATACAATCTCACTTCTCCTGATTTGGAACTACACTGTAATTACAAAATATTTTTTGTTTAGGTACGTACTCTAACTAAATTGTTGTCTGTTCTCACTTACAGTAAATCAGTACCATAGATTTATATTATTCAAATATTATAAGCAGTCACACTTTCAAAACTACAGTGTATATTTGCCATCTCTCTATCACTCGCCTAGTATTATTATGAACAAATCCAAACTGCCAATAAACGTGGCACTCTGATTTGTTGTACATTGTGCAAGCACGACCCAGGTCTGAATCATAACCAGTAATGCATTTGTGAATCAAATATACTAGTTTCAGATTAACTTCAGAAATTGCGTTTTTTCACAGATAATCAAAAAGTATACACAATTCATTAAGAATAATGTAACATTGTTACATGTAGCTGACAACTTTCTAATCAGTTATGAGAACGAAGAAGGTATTATTATGTTGCAGTCAAGTCAAAGCATATATACATGTACAAGGCAGAATTTGATTACCTGTCAATAAACACACTGATATCTGATTGTACTGACTGTTAGGGTCAAGTAGCCAATCAGAATCTTGTAAGTAGCTTTGCAATGACTCTTACATTGTCTGATTGCAACTCAGATATACAGGATATGCTTAGTATTTGCATTTTGTACAATACAAGTTTGTTATCATGGACATTGCAATATTGTTATGACTATACAAACGGGTTGTAAATTACCTACATAAATTCTGTTTGCATACCCGGTAATCATTTGCTACGATCATATTATTAGATCTCAGCACGTGCTGAAATTTGTAATTCTTTGTGTTTGCAGTAAGATTACTACAGTATATAGTGAGGACCCACTTGGGACCAACTCATCTCATGCCTAAAATCACGCCCTCATTCTTCATCAATAATTGCTACAATGTACATGTATATTAAAATGGTATTTTTTATGAGTCATTGTGCATGTGAACGGCAAAGAAGATTCAAAAAACAATTATTTGTTCATGTTGATGTAGCCTTGCAAGAAAAAAACCATTGCAGAAGCACATAAATATGCATCGCCAACGACAGTTTGCATTCATTACTACAGCATCCAACCATAACTACAGCATCCAACCATATATAGCTGCACTTCCCTACATCATCATGTCATATTAGTATGAATATGTTCTCTGTATGAAGTATATGATCTCTTAAATTCACCACTTAGGTCATGATTTTTGTTTGTGCTGAGCATTTAGTCTGCAAAATCGGCACTTGACAAGTTTCGACTCTGAGCATCTATCAGGACCGAGATCACATTTTTTGGGGCACATGCCGACTGTTCACACACATGTTTCAACTCATGAACACCACTATTATAGTGGATATCCTGAACAGTCATAATCTGGTTATCGGCTAACATATCAAAGTAAGTTAATGAACAAAATCATTATAATGGGTAAAACATGGGTAACTTGGTGAAAATAAAATATGGGTAGGTTGTATTTTATTTCCCCCTGCCATGTTTGAGCAATAAGCAAGTGTGTATTGCAGGTTTGCAGGTTTAATGTCTTAAACAAAGACAGATACTTTCATATTTCAGTGACTGTCAACACATCTCTGAATACCAATTATTTCAGCTTTCATTTGATGTTTTGATCAGTTTCTTTTTTAATGAGTTTAATGAGTTGACAATTAAAAAACACTGGGAAAGAGAAATGGTAGAAAAGCGACACTTTGCGCTAGACTTTATTTTTATGATATGTTGCTGTCAATTATTTTTTTGCTTTCCTGTACTTGAAAGTGTTCCATTCTATAGAATTAAATCTGTAAAAATTGTCAAAGTGCAGATTTGTTTTATTCTACTTCCACTTATTATACAAAACTGACAACTTATGTCTAGAATTTATGCGGTGTTTCTTTCACTAGATGCTACTTCCTTAAAACATCTATGCCCCATTCTGCTCAGCATGAGTGAAGGGCTGCTACTGTGAGCGGAACACTGCATAAATTCATGGTACACCAGTGAGCATATATAGGAAGACATCCTAAAATTCAAAATTCAAAATAATAGAAGTAATCAAGCATGCAAGGTTAAATTTATTTTTATGATATCTTAAAAATTATGCATGTTTGGCAGCCCAATTTCTCAGAAGATACAGACTCCAAAAGTCAAAAAATATCACTCTTCACCAAAATGACAAAAATATTCATCAAAATTAGAGAATTGAAGATGTCACGAAATGAACAAATCTAAGGAATATAAGTATCGAAGCAATCAGGCTTCTTTTTGACGTGGACGGCGACAGACAATCACTCCTATAAGCTCTGCTCGATTTGTAGACAGCAGAGCTAAAACCTGACTATGCAATGAGCTGTGGCCTCATAGTTAAGGTATTCTCTGATATGACAAAGGGCTTGGTTAATGCATTAAAAGGGTCTTGTGAATTTTGTTCCTGGCAGTACTAGGCACAGGTTAATTAAGATATCAAGTGAGTCCTAGTAATGGGAGCCCTGAGTATCTAATGTCCCAAAAATTCCATTCACAGCTTGTCAGATCAATGAAATCATGAATATTCAGATATTCATTGAGGGCTTGAATTTCTTTGTGGCTACATAAAAACAATATATAAAAACAACAAATCATTATAATCTCACTTAACCAGTGAATGTTTATTCTGTGTTATTTTTAGCACTTTATTCTGACCGTTTTAACATTGCTTATTGCATTCACACATTTCTCATGCTAAACAGTCTACGGAAAGTGCTGGTATGGCACCTTCATTGCATTGTACTCAAGAGTGGACCTACAATGTTTCTGTGGCTATTCATCACATTTGCTGAATTTGTTTTTATCATGTTTTTTAAATAAAATACTAAACTACCAGGTATGAATAATACAGCGTATTTGAAAAAATGTGAGATTCACTTAGGCATAAAATGACATCTGTGACAGACATTCTCAAGTACACCACCAACTTAGGTGATCAGTCAAGGCATGGAGAATGCTGGTGTAATAGTGAGTGCAACGCTGATAGATTCTAGGTATTAGTGAAGTGCTGATATGAGTGCAACACTGATAGATTCTAGGTATTAGTGAAGTGCTGAAATAATGAGTGCAACGCTGATAGATTCTAGGTATTAGTGAAGTGCTGATATAATGAGTGCAACACAGCATAGATTCTAGGCATTAGTAAAGTGCTGCTATAATGAGTGCAATACTGCATAGATTCTAGGCATTAGTGAAGGGCTGCTATAGTGAGTGGAACACTGCATAGATTCTAGGCATTAGTGAAGTACTGCTATAGTGAGTGCAACACTGCATAGATTCTAGGCATTAGTGAAGTACTGCTATAGTGAGTACAACACTGCATAGATTCTAGGCATTAGTGAAGTGCTGCTATAGTGAGTGCAACACTGCATAGATTCTAGGCATTAGTGAAGTACTGCTATAGTGAGTGCAACACTGCATAGATTCTAGGCATTAGTGAAGTGCTACTATAGTGAGTGCAACACTGCATAGATTCTAGGCATTAGTGGAGTACTGCTATAGTGAGTGCAACACTGCATAGATTCTAGGAATTAGTGAAGTGCTGCTATAGTGAGTGCAACACTGCATATATTCTAGGCATTAGTGAAGTGCTGCTATAGTGAGTGCAACACTGCATAGATTCTAGGCATTAGTGAAGTACTGCTATAGTGAGTGGAACACTGCATAGATTCTAGGTATTAGTGAAGTGCTGCTATAGTGAGTGCAACACTGCATAGATTCTAGGCATTAGTGAAGTACTGCTATAGTGAGTGGAACACTGCATAGATTCTAGGCATTAGTGAAGTACTGCTATAGTGAGTGGAATACTACATAGATTCTAGGCATCAGTAAAGTGCTGCTACAGTGAGTGGAATACTGCATAGATTCTAGGCATTAGTGAAGTACTGCTATAGTGAGTGCAACACTGCATAGATTCTAGGCATTAGTAAAGTGCTGCTATAGTGAGTGGAATCCTGCAGATTCTAGGCATTAGTAAAGTGCTGCTATAGTGAGTGCAACACTGCATAAATTCTAGGCATTAGTAAAGTGCTGCTATAGTGAGTGGAATACTGCATCGATTCTAGGCATTAGTAAAGTGCTGCTATAGTGAGTGCAACACTGCATAGATTCTAGGCATTAGTGAAGTACTGCTATAGTGAGTGCAACACTGCATAGATTCTAGGCATTAGTAAAGTGCTGCTATAGTGAGTGGAATCCTGCAGATTCTAGGCATTAGTAAAGTGCTGCTATAGTGAGTGCAACACTGCATAAATTCTAGGCATTAGTAAAGTGCTGCTATAGTGAGTGGAATACTGCATAGATTCTAGGCATTAGTAAAGTGCTGCTATAGTGAGTGCAACACTGCATAGATTCTAGGCATTAGTAAAGTGCTGCTATAGTGAGTGGAATACTGCATAGATTCTAGGCTGTAACTCTTCTGTGTTGAGAAAATTATGCCAGGAATTAACTTTTATGACATCACTAACAGAAAATCATCACTGTAAAAAACTGACTAAACACACGAAAAGTTATCTTGTCCTAATAGTTTAAGGTAATTTCTGATGGTACCTGCACTATGACAGGACTGGGTTATTGTGTGAAGGGTCTTGCATATCTTGTTGATGGCAGTACTAGGCACAGGTGGATCAAGATATCATGTTTTAATAACCAAATGGGAGTCCAAAAAATTGCTTTCAGAGTTTGCAAGCCAATGAAATGTTGAACCAAAAATTTCAAATAATGTCCTTAAATTGCAATATGGATGGATTTTAGTATTATTATTCAATACTCCATATGGTAGAGTAAATATGACTGATTAATCATAAACTAAAAACATTGAGCTTGTAGGACACAACTGTATTCGATGGATGAAAAATCAAAACGACTGATATGCACGTACAGTGATTGTTATTATACGTACCAAAACAATCAGTGCGTATGTGTATTAGAGAATATCATTATATTATCGAACAATATTTATATAATA